TCACCATGCTGTACATTAGATTCCCAGAACTTATTCAATTTATAACTGGAAATTGTGTACCCTTTGACCAACATTTCCCCATTTCCCCCACCCTCTGCCCCTGGCAACCAATCTACTCTCTGTTTCTATGAGTTTGGCTTTTATAAATTCCTCATGTAAGTGAGATCCTATAGTATTTGTTGTTCCCTGTCTGACTTATTTCACTTAGCATGATGGACTTAAGGTTCGTCTATGTTGTCTCAAATGGCAGGATTTCTCACAACTGAGTCATGTTCCGTTATATATATATTATATATATATTATATATATTATATATATATATATTCCATGTTTTACTTCTTGTAATAATGCTGCAATGAACATGGCAATGCAGATATCTCTTCAATGTAGTGATTTCATTTCCTTTGGATATACACCCAGAAATGGGATTGCTGGATCATATGAGAGTTCTAATTTTAATTTTTTGAGGAACTTCCGTACTATTCTTCATAATGGCTATGCAGTTTATATTCCTACCAATAGCACGCAAGTGTTCCTTTTCTTCATTTCCTTGTCAACACTTGTTTTCTTTTCTCTCTTTGATAATAGCCATTCTAACATGTGTGGGGTGACATCTCATGGTTTTGATTTGCATTTTCCTAATGGTTAGTGAGTTGAACACCTTTTAATGTACCTATTGGCCATTTTATGGCCCCAAAACTTATTCAGCTTGTAACTGGAAATTGCCTTTTACTTGCAGCTTTGGAAATATGCCTGTTCACGTTCTTTACCCATTTTTCAATTGGATTATTTATTTTTATTGATTTGTAAGAGTTCCTTATATAAGAGGTTTTAACCTCTTATTAGACATATGATTTGCAAAATTTTTTTCTATTTTGTAGGTTGCCTTTTCATTTTGCTGAGTGTTTCTTTTGCTGTGTAGAAGCCTCTTGACTTAATGTAGTCCCACGAGATTATTTTTGCTTTTGTTGCTTGTGCTTCTGCTGTCATATCTAAAAAATCATCGCTAAGGCCTATGTCAAGAAAGTTCTCCCTATGTTTTATTCTAGGAGTCATAAGCTTCTTCTTGTTTTCAGAATATTACTATATAAGAAGTTAAGTTATGGATGAAAAACTATCTCGCTGAGCGTATTTGTTATAATTTTTTATTAAAGTTTTCTGTTTCTTGCCTTATCTCTATTCCTTTAAAGTTCCCTTTTCTGTTCTAGTCTCTGTTTTTCATGTCAACAGCTTTCCCCTAAGATTTGGGGATCCTTGGATACATGTTCATGTTTGTGGGGGAGGCTTATGGAAAGCTCTCTGTGTGTTGGTTTGTTGCCTGATGGGCTTCACTTCAGTGTCTTTGGGGAAATATCAATGAGCATTTTTGTAGGTTTTTTCTTTCCTTGGGATTGTCAGCCTCCTCAGAACCGTAATCTCCTATCTGGAAGGTATTAACTTTGATGACAGTATTGTGTGAGTTGAGTGGGTAAGAAACCTGTTGGTCTTGCATTTTAGTATGTAAACTTTCACATAATCCTGTTTGCAGACAGTGCTTCACTTCTACCCTCTAATGTGCCTATTATTCTTCAACTGTGGTGATGACATTTTAACAGAAAGTAAACTCTGGTTTTCTTCTGGGGTCGATAAAAAGTAGTTGCTCACCTGTGCAGGGTGGGAGAGGAAACCTAGGGGAACAGGTGAAGTTTGTTTTTTTTTTTTTTTTTTTACTTCCAACTTCAATGTCGCCTAGACCCCCACCTGCAGAATACTTAAGATTTAATTGATGAAATATTTCCTAGATTTAGTGATTTTTGAATCAGCATAGTTAGCATGCAGTTCTCTCTTGGTTTTTCAAGACACTACTTACTCTCTTGGTTTTTCAAGACCACTTACTCTTCTGTGACTTATTCCACTCACTTTGTCATTGAGAATTTATGCTTTTTAATTTATGCTCTTTTTTCATAAAGTACTCCCATTTTAATGTTTAAGGAAGGACCAGGGAAAATTACTTTGGTGCGGAGGGTTATCCCAAGTCTCCATACTATCCATTTGTTAAGATTTCCTCCATATTCACATCTCCCATTACCACCTACATTCCAAAGCATCTCAAATACATCTCTAGCCCCGATCTCTCTTGTTACTTTCACATCTGTAGACATCACTGCTTGGAAGTGTCACAGGTGTCTCATCATGTGACTGCTATTTAAACACTATAGCATTTACAGAAGTGTGATTCAAATATTTATTGTATACCGTATTGATTTTGCGAACATTTATGAAGCTAGCACTGTGTTTCAGGCATTGTAAGATGAAGTAGAACTGTAGAAATAAAACAGACATAATCCTGCGCTATAGGAGCTCCTGGAGAGATAGACAGAAACATGTTACTGGTGCTTTGAGATGCATACATAGAGGTAGTGGAGTATAGAAGAAGAAATGTTTATCTTTACCTAAGGAGAAGAAGGGTCAAGAATGACTTCAGAGAGGAGATTTTTGCTTGAATGTCAAAGTGGTAGTAAGAGTAAGTGCTCATCAGACAGATAAGGTTGTGATAGGATTTTTCAAGCAGTATGAAAAACAAGAATTTAACATGGCCACATATGGAGGTTGGAGCGTTAGGGGAGCTAATATGGATGGATCATTGGTCAGGGGTGTATAGGATGTGAGAGACAAACCTGAAGATTATAAAAGAGCCTTGCATGCCACACCAAGGTCTTTATCCTGAAGTATATGGGAGACCAGCATTGCATGTTAAGATTCTATGTATTTTAACACACAGAGGTTTGGGGAGGATGAAATTGAGAGGGACCAACATAGAAGGCAAAGGGAAATTTGGGGGCTCTTGTCATCTAGACTAGTGCTACTCAAAGCATGGTGCCCATTGGCTAACTTATTCTTATGAGTCCTTGACAAAAGTAAGAAGCTTACAGTATAAGGCAAGCCAACGACTTCATGAAGCACACTGTTTAGTTGGAGCAACTTTGCTCTCATGGGAAGATTTTCTCATAAAGGAAGCTGTAATTTTTTGTAAAATCTGGGGCCAGCCATTCACCTTGTAGCAGATCCCCAATTTGAATGGTTGTGGTCTTCATCATTGGTCTTTAAATTCTTCCAATGTCACATATTCACAAGTAAAAAATGTTTGAGTATGTGCCTTTAACATGCATACATTTATGAGCTTTACACACATATTACTGTAATACATGTTATATACATTATAAAAACACTAAGCATACATTTTAAAAGGATAAGATAAAAATAAACAATATTTTTTAAAAATTTCACTAAAGTGAAAGCAGTGTAATTAAATATACTTCACTAATTTCGAAAATTGCTGTTTAACCCTTTCTGATATAGCTATTCCAGAGGTCTGCTTCTGGTTTAGTTTATTTTGGCTTTGGTTTAAATGGCTGTCAATGAAAAAGTTACCTCACAAAGACAGATGGTTCCACATGGAATAAGGCAGACTTGGCTGTACTTACTAAGTTAAGATTCTCATCTGTTAATCCAATTCAGGACTTAAATACATGTTTTTATTGAAATTCATATTCTCAGATGTCAATCAGTTGTCTTTGTACACTAACTTAAAGGTGTTTCATTTTCATATTTTATAAACATGGATTTTAAACTCACTTCAGTTATTAATTTGAAATATTTTTCAACAGGGCAAAATTCACTTTCTGGTTTTAACAAAACATAATTTTCATGAGTGACATTCACCATTCTTATCAGGAAAATCACATAAGATGGAAATGTTTTTAAATACCTGTTTTTAAAGGCCCTTTCCAAAGCACAAATTTCTTCAGAAAAACAACATTCATTAGTGAAATATCACCTTTATCTTGAAGGAGCAGTTAAAGTTGTCTTTAAAAGTATCTTTGAGGTTAAAAAAAAATCACAGAAAAGGTCAACACATTTTTTTCACTTCTGTTTTTGTGGAAAGAAAAAAGCATAATGCTTGTAAGAGTTTTGCCATGAGTTAACAAAGAATCCCCATGTGATACAGTAGGTTTTCAGGGTCACTCTGCCCTCTCACATGCAGTCTATCTGTTAAGAAAATAAGACCAGGAATTCACTTAACTAGGTGCATTCAATCTGAAAGGGAGGTACAATTGTTAAAAGTGAAAGTTGCAGATGTTAAGTCTTTGAACTGTAGATCACCCCCTGTTCCCTGGGGATGCCTCCATTCCCTATCTGACACCTGAGGGACCTCAGTCATCTGTGTATAAAATAGTAGCAAAACTTAATTTGTTCTTATTTTTAAAAACTTAAGTATAAATAGAATCTCTAATATTTTTTCTTGCCTCTAATGGATTATCTTGTATTTCTCCTGGGGTGCTGTGTTTTGCTTTGGCAAAGACTTGACCAGATAGATGCTCAATGGTGAGATTCTAAACAAAGGTAAAACCGGGGGATGGGAAAGATGGCACTAATAAAGATACTTGAGAGAGACAGAATTGACAGAACTTGATTACCTATTAGCTGTGGGGATGCAAATCAGAGAAATGCACAAGTAGATATCTTTTCATGCTGTTTTAAAAAATAATTATGTCCCATCTTTTCCAGTGATGGTAAGTTTTACCAGATAAGAATCAAACTATTTATACTCTTCCTTTTTCATGCCAGGCATTGTGCAATGCACATTCACACACATTTTTCCCTGCATAGAATGCCTTCCACCTATTTGTAGATCTCGTGTCTCAGAATTCTGCAAATGGCAGCTGCTCAAAAATGTCTGTTTTTTTCCCACAAGAGGGCCTCCATGAATGTCCACACCAAGGTGATTTCCTGATGAAGCACCAGGATGGCATGGTGGAGTGGGAGACCTTCTGAGTCTCAAAGAACAAGGACTTTCTTCCAAGCAGTAGCCTATATAGGAGGAGCTAAGTCTTTAGCCAAGTCTTTAGCCAAGACATCAACATTCCCTACCCATGAACATCAGCTGCTCCTCTTAGTGACCCCCTTCATTCCAAATAAAATAAAACAAAGACTGATGTTCTTTTGTATGTCTTACTCACAGCAAGGTTGGTCCACTGTACACTCCTCCAAATGCATCTTTGTCAATAGCTGTCAAGTATTTATTCTTGTTCAGGTAACTAGAGAGAGAGGGAGAGAGAGAATGAATCAGGTGAGATTAGGCAAATTAATATAAATACCAAAATTAAATGTGAGCATGATCTCCCTAGCTATTAACTGCCTTTTTTTTAAAGATTTATTTATTTATTTTAGAGAGAGAGAGAGAGAGAGGGCAAGCAGGGACGGGGCAAAGGGGGAGGGAGGGGAGAGAGAGAATCTCAAGCAGACTCCCCACCAAGCATGAAGCCTGATGCGGGTCTCAATTCCATGACCATGAGATCATGATCTGAGCTGAAATCAAGAGTCAGAGGCTTGGGGCACCTGGGTGGCTCAGATGGTTGAGCATCTGCCTTCAGCTCAGGTCATGATCCCAGGGTCCTGGGATCAAGCCCCGCATCGGGCTCCCTGCTAGGTGGGAAGCCTGCTTCTCCCCCTCCCACTCCCCCTGCTTGTGTTCCCTCTCTCACTGTCTCTCTCTCTGTCAAATAAATAAATAAAATCTTTAAAAAAAAAAGAGTCAGAGGTCTAATCCACTGAACCACCCAGGCGCTCCTATTAACTGGTTTTTAAGAATCTCTAAAACACCTTACCTTCTTCTGGCTTAAGCACTCAAAACATTCTAGGTTATAGTTGTGCAAGGTTTATACATATTAATTATAGCAGATGTCTTTGGAAGTGAGCACGTTTATGATACAGTTTGCATATCTAGATTTTATAAAAGTCGCGTAGTTCCCTATTTGCAGGCATACCTCAGAGATATGCAAGTTTGGTTCCAGACCGCCACAATTAAGTGAGTCAAATAAATTTTTTGGTTTCCCAGTGCATAGAAAAGTTATGTTTACACTATATATTGCAGTCTTTTAAGCATACAATAGCAATATGTCTAAAAAACCAATGTACATACCTTAATTTAAAAACACTTTATCGCTAAAAAGTGCTAACCATCATCTGAGCTTACAGCAAATCATAATCTCTTTGCTGGTGGAGGATCTTGCCTCAGTGTTGACAGCTGCTGACTGATCAGGGTGGTGGCTGCTGAAGGTCAGGGTGGATATGGCAATTTCTTAAAATAAGACAGCAGTGAAGTTTGATACACTGATTGACTCTTCTTTTCAAGAACGATTTCTCTGTAGCATGTGATGCTGTTTGATACCATTTTACCCACAGAACTTTCAAAGTTGGGGTCAGTCCTCTCAAACCTCGCCTCTGGTTTATCAACTAAATTTATATCATATTCTAAACCCTTTGTTGTCATTTCAACAATCTTCACAGCATCTTCTCCAGGTATAGAGTCCATCTCAAGAAACCACTGCTCACCCATAAGAAACCACTCCTCATCCATTCAAGTTTTATCATGAGATTGCAGGAATTTAAATGTAATAATAGTGAAAGAGTTTGCAATGTTGTGAGAATTACCAAAATGTGACACAGAAACATGAAGCTAGCAAATGCTGTTTGGGAAAATGGCACCAAGAGAGCTGTTTGATCCAGGGTCACCGCAATTCTTCAATTTGTAAAATGCAGTATCTGTAATGAAGACTGTCAGAGACTCAGATCTTTTCTTCAGGGCAGGGTTGCCTGATTTAGCAATAAAAATACAAGATGCCCAGAAAAACAATGAATAATTTTTAGCATAAGTATTCCCCATGTAATTTTGAAACATTCTTGTACTAAAGAGTTATCTGTTGTTTATCTGAAATTCAAATGTAATGGGATGGCCTATATTTTCTCTGACAATCCTATTTTGGGGGGGCAGGTTACACAGGTAAGATTACAGAGAATGAATGTGTAAATGAGTGAATAAAAAAATCAGTGTACTTCTCTTCCAAAATAGTGAGGTGGGTGACACATGCGATCGCTTTAAGGAAAAAGTAATAATGAAAGAAGAGAAGACTCAACATACGATGTGGTGGCCCATTGACTTTCTTGATGGCAGTGACAAGGCAGCTGATTATAAATGCCACAGGGTATGGCCCAGACGTGGCTTTTTCAGGCAGTGACTGGACATTAAGCTTCTAGGAAATTGGTAAATCTGAAATGGTGGGATTCCATTAATCCCATATATATACAAAGACCCAACTAAGATGCTACAGGAGCTCATCTGTGCCTTCGGGTTGAATGACGATCATGTAAGGCTGTCAATCACAGGCTTCTTTGGTCACTGTTTGACTGTCCCTCAACCCACAGTGTCCATGGAATTCCTTTGGTCAGGGATAGCTAGAGCGGGCAAAAACCACCTTGGAGAAACAACAGGAGAGAAGATCTTGAACAGCATGCTTTTGTAAAAAGACAACTAAGCTAAGCATAAGTGTGGCACTAGCTTGCATCTCTTTTTGTATTCTTTGGACCATGCAACTTGCAGATCACATTCTGTTCCCAGACTGCTGAAAATCAAGTGAGGATCGGTGAGCTCATCTCACTTTTTCCTCTTCATCTCAGACTGCTGCAAGTGAAAATCGGCTTGCTCTAATCATTAGAAATTATTGTAAAACTAAATAATTGCTTGTCCAATTCTGTAGTGTTTTCATCTGATATTCAATACGCCCCCAAGGATAAGGAGAATGGTTGATAAGCATTGCAGTTTACCAGAAACGCTGCAGAAGATTTAAAACTGAGAAAGCCAGCCAGAGTCCAGGGGGAAGAAGGAGGATGGAGAGAGGGCGCAGCCAGCTTGAACGGAGATGAACTGGATCTTGGGCGAGGCTGTGTTCTCTAAAACCAGCAGGGTTGTTGAGTACTTTATCTCTTAGAGATAATTAGGTGCTCAAAAATAAAACTATCACTCCATGTGTAGCAGTTTGGAGGGCTTGCTTATTATCACAGATTGTGATAATTCCATGAAGCTGTTTACCTTGGGTTCAGATTGCTGATCCTACTTTCCATTTGAAGCTAAGAGGATGGGATGGGGCCATATATCCATAAAATCCTTAATATCCAAGAAAAAAGTGCTTCTGTCATCCCCATTTATCATATAATGTTACCTGGAAATGTCAGTCTACTTAGACTGATTTCTTCAACCTAACTTAGGCTGATTCCCCCACCCTGACTTAGGCTGATTCCCCTAGAATCCACATTCTATAAACCAGCTTGGGTAAATAAATCACAAATCTTGGTAGGATCTATGGGTAAGCTACTCCAGACAATCCTTATTTTATAGGGGTGGGGTATGTGATCATTTAAACTATCTTTTGCAAGGACATGGCAGACATAAATGAACTTAATATACAGTATAAAGTCTTGGAGTCAGAGTTGAAAGGAAAGACTTCTAGAAAGCCAGGATTTCTAAATACAAATACTGTGAAGGGCGTATGAGAAAGAAATAGCATTTCCTTTAAAAATAATATAGACACTGGTACGTGTCTGTTCAATGCCTTTACGCTGTTCGTGCTGTATATCTCACAGTTAAGGAAGAACAATGTGGTCGAAAAATGAGGATGGTCAGAACTGAGTTGGGAAAGAATATCCAATGGATGAACTTAGTATGGTAGATACAATATTGTAGCTCACATCCTTCATTGGACTTATTCTTGGTAAATTGCAGCCATTCAGTAAAAACTTGCTAGATGAATAAATGCAAGTCCAGTTGCTGGGTAACTAACTCCTAGCTAGGGGCGCCCTCTGTATTATGTTTAGGTGAGGAAGTGACTGATGTCAGAGGGAGGAGAAGGACATTATGGCAAGGAAAGTTGTGATCGCTGCCGAGCTTTGCTCTCTGGGGAGTTTTGGGATATATTTCAGCTCCAAGATGGAATTTCAGCCTGCATTTCCCTAGTCCCTTTGGGGTAAACCTGGGCTGGCACCTGTTTACGTTGTGAGACTCATGGGAACACTTCTGTAAGGAACCATGTTTCGCCCTCATAGCATTGGTTATTTGGAAGAATTAAAGGGAACCCCTGCCTAGCCCTCATTGCTCCATGGAAATCCTTTTGGTAGCAGAAATCAGGAGACCTGTCTGTAAACAGTAACAGGTGAGAAAATGCTCAAGGTTTCAACAGAGGTAAAAGTCAGCCTTGGAGCATATTCGATAAGCCGTTCAAAGACTCCATGAGAAGTAATAGCCTGCTTCATCCCATAATCTTCTCTATCGTCATCTTGTCCCAGTGCTCCAAGCTGTGGTGTTTTGCTTCTAATCAGCTAATGTGTGATGCTAATTAGCACATGAATCGTGTTGACTTCTCTGTTCATAATAATTAGGGTTTCGGTATGTTCTTAGCAGATCAAAATGGTATTTTTTCCTGCCCAAATGTTTACTGTCAGATAGTAGCTAGTTACCAGTGTTTGACAATAGAAAATACAATACAGGCAATCAAACATTCTGAGATGAGCAACATATCCCCATGCCAGATTGTGGGGAAAGAGAAGATGGAAGAGAGGTTCCAAGGAATGAATGTGTGACTTCGCTTATGACTGGGAGCAGTTCAACTTCTGCTGAGCAAGAGATGCTTGTATTATTATTAATTTCACATCTGAGTGATGACAGTGTGCTTGGTTCCATATGAAATCACAGGACCATGTGCTTTTACACATCTGCCATAATATTCATGAACTTTTAACTAATTACCCAACTGCTGCTGAGGCATCAGTGCTTGTTCTCAATGTGGAATTTGTCCAACTTGGCTTCAGTTACACTAAAAAAATGTCTAAATGAGGTTACCTCTGCTAATTTCAGTAAATTGACAGGGGGTGGATGATGGGGAATCATTGCTCTTTTGGAGGATAACACATTGTTTAAATTAGAACCTAAAGATATTTGAACATACTTCTAGAGAATTTACCAAGTTGCTAACATGCTATGTGTAATCTTTGTACACAAACAGAATCATTATAGGATATTGATGTGTTACATTAGTTTAAGATCACAATTAGCATTGAGACCAGAGACATTAGCCCTATGTTAAAATCACGAAGTGAATACTATTTCATTATTACTGTGGAAACGTGACCTCTGTTTTCTCCATCTGCTACTCAACCCTGATCTTCCTGTAGTCTCAAACATCCTTAGCACCATCATCATTTGATTTTACCTTGGATTTACATACTTTTTACTGAAGTGCTTAACTCTAAGAAAAAATAAGTTTCCATCAACCAGGAATCAGAAACTTAGGGCAGAATGACAGAACATTGCTTTAGAACAGAGTTTCAAGTTTGGATTCAAAATACTAATTGGAAAAACAAGATCCTTGTTTTCTATTATGATTGGATCTGAACTTTCAAACCCTAAAATATTTTTGTCCAGATACTTATCTTTATCCCATACTTGCCTTTGACCTTTACCAGGAATTGGGAGAAATAGACTACATATTTCATCACACAATGGTCATCCTCACTGAATACCCCCATTGAGAACAGAGGTCCACAAACTATGATCACCTGGTCAAATCTTGCCTGCCACCTGTTTTTGTAAATAAAGTTTTATTGGAACACAGTCACACTTATTTGTTTACCCATTGTCTGGCTGCTGTCACATTATAATGGCAGAGCTGAGTAGCTGCCACTGAGATCATATGGCCCACAAGGCCCAAAATATTCATCTGGCCCTTTCCAAAAATGCCTGCTGATCTTCGATCTAGACTTCTAAAAGTCAAGAAACAAATGATTCTCACTTAAATATTTCCCATTTTGTTAAATCCTTCCAAAAACTTTAATGTTTTACATAAAAAGGTCAAGAAAGTATGGAGACTATGGTGCACTAATTTCTTTTCTGTGTTTAGAGGGATGGTTACAGTGACTACAAAAGGCTGTGATTCAGGGAACCGGTGAATTAAAATCCATTGTCTCCAGTGGAATAATTCTCTGTCATCTGCCAAGCCTCTCACAGAGCCCATGATATGGTCAGAGGAGAAAGATGGTGGGAAGGTAGAGAGAATCTTCTTACATAAGTATAGAAGTGTTCTTAGCTTAGTGTTCCTAGCCCATTCTCATGGGTTAAGTAATAACCAGCAGTAGCCAGAGGAATTGGATGTCCAAGCCTTGGTGGCTGCTAAGTCAGCAATGATGAATCCCAGCAGAGCATAGCGAAGAGTCTTGAACAAGGGGATCCCGTCCTGGCTTTGGCTTGGCCACTAGCTAGTTCTATCAAATTTTAAAAGTCATGTTAAGGGGAAAAAAAAAAAAAGCCCTGTGTTCACTTTGGGCTTCATTCCCTTCATATGCAAAATGTGACTATTGGACAAGAGTCTTCTTGCTAACTTCTTGCTAACTGATACTTCACAGTAGTGGTTCTTGACTTTTTATTTTGTTTGTGTTTTGTTTTTATTAGTTTCAGAGGTAGAATTTAGTGACTTATCAATTGCATATCACACCCAGTGCTCATTACATCAAGTGCCCTCATTAATGTCCATCACCCAATTATCACTTTCCCCCACCCACCTCTCCTCCAGCAACCTCCAGCTTATTTTCTAGAGTTCAGGGTCTCTTATGGTTTGCCTCCCTCTCAATTTTCATCTTAGTTTATTTTTCCCTTCCCCTATGGTCATCTGTTTTGTTTCTTAAATTCCACATATGAGTGAAATCATACGGTATTTGTCTTTCTCTGACTTATTTCATTTAGCATAATACCCTCTAGCTCCATCCATGTCATTGCAAATGGCAAGATTTCATTCTTTTTGATGACTGAGTCATATTCCATTGTGTGTGTGTGTGTGTGTGTGTATGTATATATACCATATCTTCTTTATCAATTCATCTGTTGATGAACATCTGGGCTCTTTCCTATTTTGGCTATGGTGGACATTGCTGCTATAAACATTGGGGTGCAAGTGCCCCTTTGAATCACTATTTTTGTATCCTTTGGATAAATCTCTAGTAGTGCAATTGCTGGGTTGTAGGTTGTAGGGAGTGGTTGGTTTTGACTTTTGCTTTACACTGGCTGCACCGAGGGAGACTTTTTAATCCCCATGCCCTTGCTACACCTAAACCAATTATACCAGAATGTCTGGTGGTAAAACCTAGGCATCAGTGCTTTCAAATCTCTCCAGGTGATTTCAATTTTCAGTCAGTACTGAGAAATATGCTGTGTAGACCTCAAAGGCTGAATTATATACCCCATATCGCTGTCCTTAAAAAATGATAACTGAGAGTGATTGAGGGTGAGACCCTCCAATGCAGTATATGCAAATTGTCTTAATTATTTTAAGAAGTCTCAATTCTCTACTTTCTTCACAGAAAATTTGACTTGGGAAGATTATTGCCCTTAAGTCCATGGCTTTATAGGAATAGTTGAATCAAAGAGGAAAATATTTGGTTAGATGCATGTAATATTAAAGTTGAATATTAGTAATTTAAAAAAAAAATGATAAATCTAGGGGAAATCATGCTTGTATCTCCAAATAAGGAGGCCAGTGTTATTGGATATTTAGTGTGTAGTTATTTTCAATCTTAAATGCATATTTTGGATTTGGTTCATTTCTCTCTAATGTACTTTGACCCTTAATATTGCTGCCCTCAAGCTGACACCACTAGAAGGCAAGCTCAGTGTAGGCAGGGAGCACATTGCTTCTGTTCATCTTTGTATCACCAGTGAATAGCACGGTACCTGGCTCATTGTAGGTGTTCAATAAAAATGTGGAAAAATGGATGAAGGATTATGTGAGATTTGTATGATAAAGTTAAATAAAACTGATGTATAAGTATTCATGTCATCACTCTGTTGAGTCTTTTCAGACTTCCCCTATAATTATGCATTTAAAAAAATGACTAATAATCTGAATGAGACAATTTAGAGAAAGGTACTTTAATCTCTATTTGATAAAGACTATGAGGAAACCCAAAAGCCTGGCAAAGAATGAGACTGCATTTCAAACAGAACTCGGAAAGCCATGCCAAGGTCTAATGATTTCAAAACTTATTAGCATTTATTCTTTAAAAATGGAATCATACCAGAACCCACCACCTCATTCCCAAATCAGAACAAGACCACTTCATCTACATGTGTTTTGTTTGTTTGCATCCAAGTCCCCTGCATATGGTTGTGCAGGTCATTCACCTCACCCAGCCTTAGTGTGGTCCATGGATCAGCAGCAGCATCATTGCCTGGGAGCCTGTTAGAAATGCAGACTCCTGGGGCCACTTCAGATCTACTTAATCAGATTCTGTATTTTAATAAGATCCCAGATGGGCTTATATGTTCAATAAATTTTGAGAAGCACTGTACAACACAACAGATCCAGAACCATAGGCCTTCAGATTTTGTGATGACCACTTCTGGAATATAAAATAACTATGTATGAAATGTTTAAAGGGGAAAAAAAAAAAAAAGATGGAATCACAAAAGTGAGTTAGCAATAAGACTGTCAAAAATGAGCAAGCAAATTTTTTGAAAAAGCAAATAGAAATTATGGAATGAAAAAAATATAACTGTTAAAAAATATTCAGTGATGTGTTATAAAACAAACACAAAAATCTGTTGTTTGTTGGTCTAGCGGACTCTTACCATTGGTGGTTTTTTCTTCTCCTATGTGTGATTTTTGACTGTGAGCTCATATTTGATTGATCTAGATCTTTAAAAAAGCTGGGGGCCTGCATTGGTATTTTTCCCTCTGCAGAGTTTTGCATTTATTTCTGCCAGGAATCAGAAGGTACTAATATGGTCATCCCACTCCAGCTGTCGTCCGGTTTCCCTGGCTTAATCCAGGAGTCTCAGGTTTATATCACTTCCCTGTCTTCTCACTGCACTAAAGCCTTGTCTTCTGGCATCACTGATGTTGGCAGCTGCCTTTAGCAAACTCAACCTTCTGGAAGCACCCACCACTTTAGTTTCAGCTCCTGGTTTGTTAGTTTATTTCCCTCTCTTGGAGGTATGACATAAAATGTAATTTTTTTTAAATGGATGATCTAGTTGTTTTATAGTAGGAAGGCCCTACAAATTAACTAGTCCACCACAGTGTGGGAAGCAGACTCTACTAAAGCTATTTTTTCACTTATTAGATATTAGGTTAAAACACAAATTAGTATGGCTGAACCAGTCCACAAGCTCTTAGACACAAAGTATGCCCTGGTGTAGATACTGGGGGCCACAAAGATCTGACAGGAAAGTACAACAAAGACAGGACCTCATGTAAGTGACTATCTTTTTGCCAACATTCTATTCTAGGCATTATTTATTAATGGGGGCTGGCAAAAGTTGGATATGACTTTTCAGCTATTTCTGAGTGAATCAAATATAAACTAAATCTTTCTGAAAACATGTCAGAAAAACTAAAAAGAAAAACCTTACTTTCTGAACAGCTTTGGATTTAATTAAAGACATGCTTTACTTCATGTACATATACAGTGTACTTCATGAACATTTACATACACACACATACTCCTACAAGGAAACTGAAGGTGACACCATGGTTCTCCATTTTATCAAGGATAAAAGCTTTGGGATTTAGAATTGGGGCCATTGTAAGTGTTCGCTAAAGTTGGCTCTTGCCAAGTTCCTTAATATCATCCCCACGTTTTGGGCATACTCATTCTGGGGTTGAGGAATGCTCTGGTAAACCTATCTCTAACAGAATTCTGACCCATTGGATGTTCCCTCATTGGATGGGGGTGGGAGTGTGGAGGAAGACAGTGGTTTCTAAGGCTACCCTTGACTTACACAGCATCCAGCTTTGTCCCATTGAAAGCATGTCCTTGAATTGAAGTAAAGCCATTGTTGTATAGTTTCCTACAATCAAGAGAGGGAGGAGAAATCAGTGACCCATAAGAGGTGATGGTTGGGCTTCATTTCTGCAGTGTCAGAAATGTGCATGAAGGTTCTCAGGTCCCACAAGAGAACTTTATGATACGTCTTGCTTGGAACATAGAATATTTCCCAGTTTGAATCCCCTTTTTCCATACAGCTCCTAGTAATTTCAAGCTGTTTCTCAGAAGCCATTCATTTTGAGAAGGAAAGATTTGCCACCATTAAGAATTTTTAAAAAAATATTCTACCTATATTGAAAAAAGAAGGGTTTCAGGTAATAGTTAACCCAATGTCAATAATGGAGGAATAACTTCAGTTTCTTAAGATGAACATATTTAAAGACATTGCTCATCTGAATGCATAGGTTTTATATTTTTCTGTTTAAAATATTATGTCACACTTGTATTTTATCCAAATTTTTATCCTCAGGGCTATCATAGATTAAATGCTTAATGGTTGTGGGCTGAATTAAGTTGAACTTCAAAGACAAATCTAAGAAAATAGATAGACCATGCCCTTTTATGGAAATTTTGATGTTTTAAATTGTTTCTATGTTTCTGCAACTAATTAATTCATGCAGTGATTCCTGGGGCTAGTGTCATCTCCTCTGTTTCCTAGTCAAGCTCCTGAGAGGTGGAGGTGACTTGCCAAAGAAAGCCACATTGCTGCGGACCTGTTGGGATTCAGGATTTCTGACCTCAGAAGTGATTCTTCCCACCCACCCAAAGGAGAAGGAGCCCTGGTTGTGGGAGCTCTGGTCTCCATGAGGATGCATGGGGGCTACTGGCGTGCTATAAGAGAAGGCAGCCATATCACAGTCAAGTACAGCTAGGGGCAATTGTAGGGGAACTCTGAAAATGACTGTAGTCCACCACCTGTCAACTCTGGTGACACATTAGGAAGTATACAAGAGATTCTAAATTTGGAATTAGACCTGTCTCTGTCACTTCATAGTATGTGGATCCTGAGAATTTCTCAACCTCTATTGTCCTCAGTTTTCTTATCTGTAAGAATATGATAATAATACCTAATCAAATAGCTATATATTTATCAGTGTGGGACACTTATAAGATGACCATGTTGAAAAGAATATCCCCAAAACTTGGATTTATTCTCTGTTTTGTGGAAAACTGAGAGTAACCTTTGTTTGTTGTTATTTTTTATTTTGTTTTAAATAATGACACAATGAATTTAATTTCAGCTACTGCTGTGTCCTGGGTGAGGACTGCAGTGCACAGGGGTGAAGAAAGCTCTGAGAGATAAGTTAATTTTTCTGAACCAGAGTTCTTTTATGTATGTGTGAGAATTATACATTTGGGATTTCTGTTTTCCCAAACTTTGTTAAGAGTCCTAGACAGTGAAAATATTCTTTGTTGGAATTACATTTCAGAGATTAAGCAAAACTCTTAATAGACAAATAGGCCTTAGAAAGGGAAAATAATGGAGGAAGAAAAAAATAGTGAAGAAGAAAAAAAAAGGATTGCAAACTTTGATTGAAACACTATCCTGCCAGGAATACGGGTACAAATTCATTGTTGGACACATACCCTCTCATGCAGTTTTTTGAGCACGAGCTTCGAAGCAAGGACTTTTGCAGGAATGTAAAACTAATCATCTGAAAAGATAATGCCATCCCCAACTCTCGATTTCAGGAAGCATAGGATTCCCTCATTTAGATGTTTATTAAATACCTACTGTGCCCTGTGCTCAGTGGGACAGGGAGCTGCTTTCACTTGAGAGGGCTCCTGGGGACATGGGGTCCTTAGAAAAAAATGCCAGAAGGTGAAAGTAAAGAAACTGGGAGAGGAGTTTACATGCAATGGGTGGTTAAATGGCACAATGGAAACCTTTACAGAGGAGGCAAATGGCTTTGAGGTTTGAGACTGAGCAGGCTAAGACTCCAGGTTTTTGCGGTGTCGTCAAATGGAATGGTGGCCAAGAAGAGTCTCTCGTCTTTTCAAAAAGACCTCTCCCCATGTTTCAAGGAGAGGGATGAACCGAAATGCTCCACTGTGGATAGAGACTCAGAGGTTGAGGCAGTTTCATAGGACCTAGATTGATAGACTTAGACTGGCTTGGAAGCAGCTCCTTGCAAGAGTTGTGGGGATGCTTGGGTCAATTTTACTGGGGAATAATCCAATCAAGTTTGTATCTGATAAAGAAACTCTGGACTGTAGTGTGAACAGAGAAAGGGATCTGGGTGACAATCCAGGCAAAAAAAGCCATAAAGCCTGAGCTTGGGCAGTGGTACTGAAGCTAGAGAGAAGGGATCCTTTGGACAACTCTAGTTTGTGGCTAATTTGATGAGAGAGGGGAGTTCTCTACTGGTTTGGAGAATTAACTTATCTTTTATACCTCTACTAGACTTCTTTATTAGAACATTTTATGAACTTCTCTGATAAACATCTCCTTTTGAACATCTAAAGAGCAGAACCCATTCGAACTCTGAAAAATAATGATGTAGAGCAACTGTTTTCTGTTCAATATGGCTTTGTAGGAACTTCATAATAGTTGTGATGACTGAGTTGCTTGTGAGTGCAAAGAGCATGAGAAGCTCTTAGTTGCACCATTTTCTAATTCAGTGACCTTGGAAAAGTCACTGCTCTAACCCCAGGTTCTTCTTCTATACAATGGGGGTACTAGAATACAGTATATTACAAGGTCTGCAGGTCAAATCTGGTCCACTACTTGTTTTTGTAAATTAAATTTGATTGGAAAAACAGGCTCCCTAGTTTATGTATTGCATATGGCTGCCCTTTACCTACAATGGCAGAAGTAAGCAGTTGCCACAAAGGCCATGTGGTCTGTAAGACCTAATGGTCTTCTCTAGATCAAGTGTGCTGACCATTTCTATAAGGGAATACTTATCTTGTTACTTAAACCATTTTGTCATCGATTAGAGTACCATACCATAAGGCAGTCCTCCTATTTAACTCTCTGAAACCTTTAGTAGGCCAGAGAGCACGTCCTGTAGGATGTTTCTTGGAGGGGCTGTGAAAATATGACAGTGGTCCAAATAACATTCCGATTGTTGGCAGGAGTGCAAGGGGCAGTACTCACAGTGTCAGGGTTTCATTGCACAGCCCCTGGAAAGCGTTGGCAGGGATGGAAGTCATGTAAGGGTTGTCTGTGATTTCCCTGCAAGAGAGGGACAAAAACGCTTGGTGAAAATAAATGATTTCCTTCTGGAGTTGGGCTCTTCTTGCTCCACCTCTGCACTCAAATAAATTACCTAACCCAGGGCGCCTGGGTGGCTCAGTTGGTTAAGCAGCTGCCTTTGGCTCGGGTCATGATCTCAGGGTCCTGGGATCGAGCCCTGCATCAGGCTCCCTGCTCAGCGGGAGTCTGCTTCTCTCTCTCCCTCTGCCCCTCCCCACCACTCGTTCTCTCTCTCTTAAATAAATAAATAAATAAATAAGAATCTTAAAAAAAAAAACCTGATGCAATTTAGTTTATTTTCAAGTTTATTTTTAAGTTTTGTTGACCCTTCATAGCTGCTGGTGGCTCAGAGGTTTGGTGAGGTGGAGAGCTGTCATAGGGGCACTCATAGCCTCTCAAATGTGCGTAAGCCAGTGAGCGTTGGGTGTGGGCTGAAGTCCCTGACTAAATCCTGATTTGCAAGGGGAGCAGGTGGGCCTTAGAGACGTCTGTAAATCTGTGACAAATACTTGGTCCATAGCAACTAGAGTTTTCTAAGTGTTTGGAACCTCCAAAAAGAGCTGGTAGAATGAGATCAGTGGCTTTCTTCTTATGAGTATTACTGAAATGTCCTCTACTTGCAAACCACTGCCAGGCAGATGCTCCTGGAGAACTTTCTGTGCCAGTCTAGTTACTAGAAAACTGCCTACATTTTGAACTGAGCTCTTCAGCAGCAAAGAAGCATGGTCAATTTTTTTTTTCTGGCAAAATCCCGAGAGTTCAGATCCGATCACTCCACATTTTGCTGACTCTGTGGTGCAAACTCACCCTGTAATGCTGCCTGAGTCGGTTTACTTCTATACAACTAGGTAAGACACTTGACCGTGTCACAGGTTTTGGAAAAGGGCACATGGCCACCAATCAGAAGCCATAGGAAGTAGTTTGAACACCACTCGTTCCTGCTCCTTGGGACTCTGCTCAGACAAAATCACTTAGGTTTTCTATTCCTCTTTTTCTTTATTTATAGAATGGAAAAAAAATGTTAACTTTTATGCCTTCTAAGGTGGTCAAGAGTAACAAACATGATAATGTATGTGTTTGAAAAGCTATTAAAAATTACGTGGAAAATAAAGTATCACCATTATCATCAAATTTTCCTTCTACTTGATCAATCCCATCAGCAAACAAACATGCCATAATTTGTCCCATCAAACAACAACAAACAAGAAAAAGAAACCTTTTCTCCCGACCCAGTATCCTCCAACTACTGAGACATTTTCTGCACTTTTTTAATAGTAAAACTTCTCCAATGAGTTTGTAATGGTCACTCTCTCTAAGTCTTCCCTTCTGATTCTTTCTTGAGCCAACCCCAACCAGACTTCACCCTAGAGCTCCATTGGAACTGCTCTTGTCAGAATCATGAAAGCCCCATATTACTAAACCCAATGGTCATTTCTCAGTCTCTGCCTTACTTCATCCACCAGTGTCACAGCTGATCAATGCTTCCCCTTGGGATGATTGCTTCACTTGGTTTCAACCAACCCCTATGGCTGCACCCTACTTCTTGTTAGTGTTTGAATACTTATCTTGTTACTTAAACCATTTTGTCATCGATTAGAGTACCATACCATAAGGCAGTCCTCTTATTTAACTCTCTGAAACCTTTAGTAGGCCAGAGAGCATGTCCAGTGTTTTGTCAGTGACAAAATACTGCCAAATATTGCATGTGTGCATACTTACAGTATAAAAAAGACATCAGTGGAATAAACTTTGGTCAGGTCAGGGAATACTCCAAGTCCAGTGTTGAAAATGCCACTATAGTGCATGAAAAAGAAGAGAGAGCAGATATAAGGTAAGAAATCCAACACACAGGAAGTAGAATAATGTACTAGCTGAATTTTTATGGGTTCTGAAGTCAGACTAGAGTCAAATCCTAACTCCTTCATTAAATATCTGAGTGACCATGGGCAAATCCTAACCCTTGGATGAGAGGTTGCTCCCTCAAGGTACAAGAATCTAATTCCGTCCACCAGTGTCAATACATTTTTTTTTTCTGTTTAGAAGAATATGAGGATTGTTTCAACCAAGTAGGCTTCCTAGAAATAGGAATTTAGGTTTCTTTCCATGTGTGCGTGTGTGTGTGTGATATTTCCCTGTTTTAATTGGAGGGCATTATGGGGGAGGGGCAGTGGAATAGGGGAGGATGGGGCAGTAAGACAATATAATACCCAGCTCCAAGCCAGGCTTCCTCTTTCAACCTTCACATTATATTGTGCTCATTATTTTGGCAAGAATTATTTTCCCCTGGCAGTCACCTGGGAGTAGGACAGCAGCAGTGCCATTTAGAAAATATGTCTAGACAAGGGATAAAGTCAATCAAAGACAATGTCTTCACTTTCCAAAGTTTGTGTCATCAGGGCAAAATGTCAAGACTAAAAGATGTACATCAAACAGCACAAATATAGCCACTCTCAGGCTCCTGGTTAATTTAACATTTGTTGCAGCTACTAGAAAGTAGGTAGTAGAAATGGGATTTTTTTTTTTTTTGAGAGGCATGGCATGGCATGGGGTGAGACTTCGACACTACCAGTAAAGCTTTAAAGAAAGTCTTCCCACAGAGAACACTCTGGTTCCATTGATATACCTTTTTAGGCAAATTCTGACCTGGCTCTTTTAGAGGGCAAAACTTAAGATTTGAAGAGAAAACAGGAGCCAGAGGTCTCACAAAGAGCAAATGGGATATTCCAGATAGCAAAGGAGAGCACCGAATCCTAACCACTAGACCACCAGGGACCAGGTAGCGAAGGAGAGAGTGGAGATTCCATAAAGAATATTTGAAGAACAGGAAACAGTGAACAAACTAGTCGACTGCAAGAGAGGTTCATGTGGAAGTGTGTCTGGTGGGGGGAGGCCCTGGAGTTAAGTGGGGACCATATAGTGGGGCTGGAAATGCCAGATTAGGGACCAGGACCTCTCTTTTCTTCAAAACCCCAAACAAATCCATCTCCTTTTTGATGTGTCCTCTAATTAACTGTACCCCCAAATAATGTATGTACCTCTTATTTATCACTTATCATTATTTTCCAGTGGGAGAGGAACTTTTTAATTTTATATATAATATCTTCCCAACTAGATTTTAAGCTTCTTTTTTTTTTTTTTTTAAAGATTTTATTTATTTATTTGACAGAGGGAGACACAGTGAGAGCAGGAACACAAGCAGGGGGAGTGGGAGAGGGAGAAGC